TCTTCAAATCCATTCTCTCCCTCTGCTAATTGAATAAAAAAATAGAGGAATGAGGTCAAACATTTATCTAACTATTATGCATATTGAACTCAATGATTTATATCATATATCATCATTATTCAATGCCACCTGTTTTTAGTGCAGTTAATAACTTACCCATGGGATACCCAGTCATACAACAGCCTCCAGTTCCTGCTACAGGACAAGTTCACATTGATTCTATGGGATATTCGACATCTGGTTTTCATGTTGTTAATGGAGTTCCTGCTCCAGGCAATTTCCATCCGATGCAGATGAATTCTGGAAATGAGTGAGAATTGTTTTCATTTTGGCATGGTTTACCTTTGTTTTTCCACTTGATATCTGAAAATTGATAGCAATACCTGTTTCTTTTTCCATCTAATTCTCTAAACCTCTTCTATTATTATTCCCATCACATCATGATTGTCTATAGAAAGAAGTAATTCTGACTCTTATGTTTTTAGCATTACTTGACGGATACTAATCATTTGCCCACTATCTCTTCTTCTAACTGTCATTATTTTTCTGCTCTCTGCAGTATGGCAATCGACACCAATGCAGCTGATCTGTCTCCCGCTATGCCTCCTAACAATGCCATGTCCTCCATGTCAGATATGCTTGTGAGCCCCACATCAGCAGCGTCCAGTGGTCATTTCCCCTTCAGTGCATCAGAGGTATCAGGCTTGGGAGTCGACACATTAGGCCTCGACACAGCATTTACATCTGATATGGCAACTTCAGTAGGACTGCAGCTACCACCAGAAAATGATGATGGGAATTCTAGAGACTCCCTTGGATCCTATGCTCAGATTCCTTGGAATTTCAGTTTTTCGGACCTAACAGCAGATTTATCGAACATAGGAGGTATCTTTTAAAACAAAATCTGATTTAGGTCATGTGCCATTTTTATCCACGTTGCTGTGTAGTATTTGAGCATGACTTGGTTCCACTTTGTCGCACGTGTAAAAAATACTAGGCATTGTAGAAGTTGGTAGCAAACTGCATATTTTTTCTTGAAGAACTGTTGGGAAATACTTAGTGAGTTCTGCATTACAAATGGTATTATGAAAGCTCCAAAAGTAAATTTTAGATGAATTAATCTACTTGTACAAAGTTTGTTTATAAAAGTTAGTTTACAAACTAAGTGTTGACAAAATTTTGGTCATTGATTTCCATTGATTCCAAAAATTGTTTTTGAAATGATTGGCCTAGATGTTGTCAACACATAATTTGTAAACCAAATTTGTCAACTTAGTTTGTACAAATAGCACGATTCATTTTAGATAAGCATTGCCAGAAGAAAGTTGGTTTTTGGGAGAATTGCTAATGGTAAAGAAACTTAAATCGGCTACAGGATTGACACTGTTTTGCTTTCGTTTTAGTTGAACAATAGGCCATGCAATAATTATTTGATGAACTCCTAATTTTATTGCAAACAGAGAAACATAGAATAATAAAGGAAGAAAAATCATTCTGAAATCCTGAAATATGGTGTAGTCATAGCATTGTACCACATTGCAAGTCCAATGACAAACATTTATCTTCTATTTATTGTCACATATCACAGATCTCAACCCTTGAAAGGGTAGTCTCGGTTGAATCCTTGTAAATGGCATTTTCCTTAGAAATAGTAATCCTAGATGCAGAAGAAAGAGTACGGTATAACTAAATATGGGACTATAGAAATGCATTTAATCATCTTTCACTTTATATGCGCATGGATTCTGGAAAATATAAGTGCAGAGTGGAAAATAAAGATCCACGAAAATGAACCTAATATAGTAAGGCTAATTTTTGTTGAACAAATATATAGCTGTTTTTATGGTGAGAAGATTTGTGGTTGATCACTTCTGACTATACCCTATAATAATGTTCTGTAGCTGCTTTCATACAAATATTAATGCGTGTAAACTGTTGCCCTTGTTCTTGATTTCCATCCCTTCCCCTTTTAGATGCCGATGCCAAGTTTGTTGAGATTAAGACTACACTCTCCTTTAGATGTGATTGATGATTTCTGTTGCTTCAAAAATGCTTTCAGATCTAGGAGCTCTTGGAAACTATGATGGTTCACCCTTTTTGCCTTCCGATTCAGATATTTTACTTGATTCTCCAGAGCCAGAAGATATAGGTAAGATGTAAACAACTCTTTTGCCGTGCATTTTTATTGAAATCGATGAAGTTTGAGAACAGAAAAACTGTTGACATTTGAATGAATTCCTTGACATGCTGTGTATTTAACTGAAATTCGTATGTGAAGCACTTTTTGCATAATAAAATGCTACTTCTGTTATTTTGGGATCTTAAGAAGCTAATTTTTGCTTTAAAATAATTCTCGCTTCAATTAATAACTTTTCACTCGTGAGAGGAGGCTTGATGCCAGAAACAAACCATAGGGACCTTTAAGCTCTAACTTCTATAATTATGTTTTTGAAATACTTAAATTGTAGCCAAGATCATTTAGCTCCTAGGCTCATTCTTCGAGTTTTTTGCAGTAAAATCAGATTGATGCAACAGAAATTTGGTTAAATTTTATTTTCCTTTTTCCCAATGCCCAGTTGCCCACTGAAAACTGGAATTCATTGGAAACCAGCTAAGCATTAATACTTAGATTTTTGAAGAACTTAATGATGACATAATCAATATGTGAAGATGGACAGACTATAAAAGTTTAAGGGCAGTCTTAAAGTTAATAAAATGGCTTAAATTTTGATGAAACCTTGGACACGTGCCACAGATAAATATGCGGAAAACCAATTTCTAGGAACATGTGACGTCGCCGATCAGAACACCACTCACTTCAACAAGAACCTTGTCTACTGTTGTAATAATACTTGTGCAATGTACTTAACATGATAACTTCTTGATGCTTGCCTGAGAATGTTGTTTTTGTTGCTCAACCTGTGGCTTGACTTTGTTTCAGTTGAGGACTTCTTTGTTGATTCTGTTCCTGGCCCACCAAGCCTACCGTCTGATGAGAAGTCCTAGCATAACAACAAAAACTCAGCCTCATTCTCAATAAATTTGGGTCAGCTACATGAATCTTTTTCTGCCATACCTTTTTGTTTAGAACAACTTATTTCTGAGGACAAATCCTTGTACGCCAATCTATTTTGTTCGTTGCTAGATCGACAGGGAGATTTAAGGAAACTAAATTCTTAGCAACTACTACATACCAAGTTAAGAGACGTCCAAGCATGAACTGAAATACTCTTTTGAACTTGGGAGTTTAGACTAGGATATGAGGTTCTATTGAAGACGAAGCATTAATTGTCCAAAGCTTTGACAAATTTAGGCGTCACAGCTTTCAGGTTAGTAGCTGGCTCTTTTCTGTGGAAGCACTTGTGTTATGATAGTTCCGTTTTTGTATTCCATTTAGACGGTGGAAATTGAACATGATAATCTTCTAGAGCGAGATTTTTTCGTGTTATGTTCTGTTTTATGGACATAATAATATTTTATATTTCGGACGTTTTGCTTTGCAGTTTAATATGCATATGTACATAAATTATGTAGATTGAATTTGTAATAGCTAATAGTAGTTGACAAAGGTTTTATGCCTTGACAAATGTGCTTTGAGTTCTACCATGATCAAATTCATGAATTTCATTATCTTTTAAATTATTGCGAAGTTTTTTTTTTTTTTTTGGTCACAAATCGATAAACTTCTGGCTTCATACTTTGAACTTAACCCAGGAACACTGGAACAGAAGGCTGTC